GGGGTCTAATAGCAATTTCAATGATTTGAGAGATTAATTTCAAAAATAATTTAAGAATTCGGGGACCGAATCGAAACTTAATTCAATGACTTTGTGCGACTAATTTGAAAGTGTGAAAGATTTAGGGGACTAGTTGAAAAAATCATATTATTATGTCAACATTTGGGGGACCCGTTTCAAATGATGCTTTCTGAGACCAATATCTAACAGCGCTTATCCATAATATTTTAATTACTCGCTCGTCACAATTTTGTGTATCAATATCACTAGGGCAAGTTCTTCTCAAATGGGATGGATGTGCGTTATTTAAGGGGAGTCAGTAAAGATGAAGCCAAGGTACTTATGTAATAATAATTTATAGTTCTTCTCACCAATGAATAGATTATGAGGTAATTGCTTAATTTTCTCCTTTGACCTCGATCACAGGAGTATTTGTTGATGTTCCAAAGGCTTACGAGCAAGTTATTGACTCTCTGTGTGCCAACTATTGCCGTAATAAGGTGATTAATTTTCCTCCTCAACAATTTTCACTATCGTCAGACGTGGTAACTTACCGAAAAAGTTAAATATTTAATAGTTTTCTCTAGTAAGAAAAGTTTATGGTAGTTCTATGCGAAGCCCCCAACTAGTGTTGGACTTGTAAATTTATTATGTAGCTCTGAGAATATTTATTATGTAACTGTGAACGAATTGCCCTTGCGTGTGATTAGAGGACATGCAGTTGGAGCTGGTTGCATTTTCGCTTTAGCCCATGACTACAGGCTCATGAGCTCAACCCATGGACATATATTCATGAATGAGGTAGACTCCAGAACTTGTGCTGCTAGCTGCTGCTGCTGCTGCTTCTTTTTCACTATTTATTTTCTCTAGTAGATCAAATTAGTAAAAGCTAACCAGTGATCATATTAACGCTTTCGATCTCCTTCAAAATTTTGAGATTCACAGGTTGACTTAGGTATGTCATTAGCACCTGGAATGGTTTCTGTTCTCCGGCTGAAGTTAACTAGTCACGCATTTCAAGAAACTATACTCCTCGGGTAATTAAGTTTCTGCAACTTTATTTATACGATTAAAGTCTAATATTAATTTTTACCGTTAACTAAGAAATTTACATGCAAATGTCTATCTAGACATTTGAAAAAACCCAACTCCATTACAAAATTAAACCAATGCATTATTTGTTGTGCGCGGCGGAAGCAGCCGAATCACACACAAGTCAAACAAGAGAGATCACAACTAAAATACACAAGCACAATCACCAAATAACACAAGAGATTTACGTGGTTCGGCAATTGCCTACGTCCACGGGGATAAGATGGAGAGATTCCACTAAATCAAGGAGAGTACAAAGGGTTACAATCTCACAAAACTCACACACTAACCCTCAACCAAAACTCTCAACTTGCTCACAATATCTCCCTCTCTTAATGCTCAAAAGTCTTTCTAACCTCTGATTACAACTCTCCTCTCTTTTTATGATTGATTCTAATCTTCATATATATAGAAAAACTAAAACCACAACAGACTAGGAATCCTAAAACAAAAAACAAAACAAATTAGGAATCCTAATAACCTCATGTTACCAAAATAGATTAGGAATCCTAATAACCTCATGTTACCAAAATAGATTAGGAATCCTAATAGATTAAATGTTACCAAAATAGATTAGGAATCCTAATAGATTAGGAATACTGCTATCCAATAATTCTCCACCTCGGCGAAGTATTCTCAAAACTGAGCTGACACCAACATGAGCACCAAGGCGTCGTCTCACCAAATTCGACTGCACCAATGTGGTTGCCTACGTACCCTCTCTCCCAAGGGATCAAGCCGCCCGTAGTTCATCCAAATGGCCTCCAAAGGCCTCAATCCACTAGAAGAGTTCGCAACCATTCTCCAACATCACGATCAAGTCTACGGCTGATAGCACCTCTAATGACCCCAAACTGAAACAATTCAAACATCTCCACCTGTGATGAACCAATGGCCATATCCAGACTCCATCTATCAGCTGCACTCGAATCGATCAACCTATCATCTGCATCCAAATCAACATGATTCCCAATCTGTGTCACATCAGCTGGAATCCCAAATGATGCAGTATGATCTGGAGTCTCCACCCAACGTGGAGTAGCATCACTCTCCACTCGCTGCGATGTCCCAAAGATCTGATCACCACTCTCTACCTGCCGAGAGTCAAACGTGACATACCTGCTCAGAACAAAGTCAGAAGCCAATACATGATAATCAAACACGCCTCTGACTCCCAAATGTGCTATCGGATCAAATCTCACATCCACGATGTGACCAAGTGCTGAGTAGCCAAGCATCCGACGAATCTAAATCAGCTCCACCAGATCCAAAATCTCTACATGCAGCAGTCGGTAACCTATACATAAGATGGCACAAACATGTTGTAGCCCACACACCAATGCCAATGTTCGATATCAAACGCCGATCCTCCTCCAGAAAGGAACAGCTCCCAAAATCTGTCATCTCATCACGTCGCCTTAAAGTTTCCACACCAATAAAGTGTCTGCAATTACCGTGAGCTTGGCACAAACGTAAGAAAGAACCCCTACCATAATTAGAACGTCGAGTTACCTTTCTATCAACACACTTCCTCCATCTGTTGCGGGCTTCTAGGACTTCACATCAACGGGACTTGGTTGCAAACCACCAATGCCTAGAACAATCCCCAACTGTGAAAACCACATACCTATTACCTTCCAATGATGCTCTCTTGGAAGGCCCACGAATGCCTGAATGAACACCCCTCTGTAGAGTTGGCAACACAAACTGACGGTAGTGCGGATAATGAATAGCCTGAAGAATCCGAATTTGAATTATTGCCACTAGTCTTGACAACATTCACCTCTGAAGCTTGTACAACTTTTCCCTTATTCTTCTCAGCTCGATCTAACTTTGGACATTCAGCTTTCCAATGTACATCCTCTTTACAAAAAAATATACTGATTCCTATGAATCCCACGATGTGCACCTCTAGACTGTGACCTCCTGCTTCGGTTTGAACCACAGCCTTGAACTACTAATACATCTCTCGATGCCTTCTCGGAGAACTCATCAACACTCTTCCTTGTCACCTCCTTATAGCTAACAGTAGTTCTTCCATTAATCATAGTTAGGACAAAGGTACCATAATCATCCTCGGGCAACGAACACAAAAGTAGCATCGCCTTGTCTTCATCCTCAACCATGATATCCACATTGGCCATGTCTGAAAGTAGCTTCGTGAAGTTATTAACATGTTCTCTGATGGAAACTCTCATCTTCATCTTGAACTGATAAAACCTCTTCTTCAAGTGAAGCTGATTCTCAATGCTCTTAGTAAGATACTTTTCATTGAGTGTTTCCCACATCTTCTTCGCCGACGTCTCGTTCATCACATCATAAATAAGATCCGGCATCAAGCATGACCGAATAACTCCATACGCCCTACTATTCATCTTCTTCCAAACCTTATCTTCCATATCAGCAGGTTTCTTTTGCAACTCAAGAGTCTCTTCCAAATTTTGAGCGTCCAACGCATCCATTACCTGGCACCTCCACAAACCGAAATTGTTCTTGCCATCAAACTTTGGAACATCGATCTTCATGTTATTAATGCTCAAACTATGTATCGTCTTCATAAGAGACGGCCCCGATGTGTTTGTTTCACCCATGTTGTGGATCTAACTTTTCAAATAAGAATCCAACAGCGAATCCTTCGAACAAGCTTTCAAGTCTAACCCGGAGCTTTGATACCACTTGTTGTGCGCAGCGAAAGCGGTCGAATCACACACAAGCCAAACAAGAGAGATCACAACCAAAATACACAAGCACAATCACCAAATAACACAAAAGATTTACGTGGTTCGGCAATTGCCTACGTCCACGGGGAGAGGATGGGGAGATTCTACTAAATCAAGGAGAGTACAAATGATTACAATCTCACAAAACTCACAAACTAACCCTCAACCAAAGCTCTCAACTTGCTCCCAATATCTCCCTCTCTTAATGCTCAAAAGTCTCTCTAACCTATGATTACAACTCTTCTCTCTTTTTATGATTGATTCTAATTTCCATATATATAGAAAAACTAAAACCAAAACAGACTAGGAATCATAAAACCAAAAACAAAACAAATTAGGAATCTTAATAACCTCATGTTACCAAAATAGAGTAGGAATTTTAATAACCTCATGTTATCAAAATAGATTAGGAATCCTAATAGATTAGGAATACTGCTATCCAACATTATTAAATGATCATTGATGAAGGGACCTTTTTGCTCCCTAATGTTTATAATGGTTTGCAGAAACCACTCATTAATCTTTAGGTTATCACTTGACTGTAGGAGGCGATTTGATGGTCAGAGCGCAGCGCAAAGTGGTTTGATCCATGATACATGTTCCTCAGACGAAAGGCTTCTAGAACAAGGAATCGACAAAGGTCTACTCTTTATTTTTCTCTATTTTTCTTTTTTTATAGATAAAAACGGAAAAAAGTTTTAAGCACATACATATCGTGGAAATTAATTTATCAAAACTCAACTTTTTCCTTAAATTTGCAGCTAAGGAGTACAAGTCAAGGAATTGGAAAAGAGAAGTGTACCATGCCCTAAAAGTAATTCATTGTTTTTCATATGTATCTTTACTACTTGAGATCTTTCTCCTGAAAATATGAATACATGACAATTGATTGAATGTTGATCTCAACAGATGGAGATGTTCAAGAGCACCGTATGGGAACTAGAGAAAGGAGGGATCGGATATGCAAGGATGTGACCAACTTTCTCAACTTTAGTTCAAAATGAAAGAATTATATATGCTTTTTTTTTCATTCTCATTTGTGGGACAATAAGTAATAAAGATTTAAGATGTTGCTATAATAAAGTTTTTTTCTTCTTGGGATTTGTCTTACGGGTCCTTGTAATTAGGAAGCCGTAAAGCTCTGTTTTAATTGTGTGGTATGTGTTGGACTTAATTGTGATTAAATCATAAAGATTAAAACTAAAAGAGTGGAAGCTATAAATGAATCCATTGCACGGATCTGAAATTTGGATTTTGGATCTTCTAATCTTTAGGGTTCTCTCCTTAAGATTTCTCTTTAGAAGGGGATAAGAGAATGAGAACTCAAACCCTTAGATTAGGGACCATAACCTATTTATATAGACTTGCAGTTTTCTAATTTAGCCCCTTATTAAATTAGAATTACAATCTGGTATCTGCACGATTAGCCCATAACATATTTAAATACCCATTGACCCAATTACCTGATTAATCACTTTATACGGGTTAACTGTAAAGATAGCAACACACACTGATATAACATATGTGTCCACAAATAGATTTAATTAGATTTAAATCCAACAATCTCCCACTTGGGCACCATATGTTTCCTTAAAGTGTGTATAACCTTATGAGCTCAAAAAATTGCTATCATAGATAAGGGTATTTCCAAACAATCTCGTCCATTGACTATATCAATATAGGATCAAAGCAGCATTCGTTATATTTATCGTAACTAAACCTATCAATGGTCACATATACCAATATAATCAAACTACATAGATCAATCATGGATGTGCAGCATAAAAATTACATGCAATGTGATTAGTACATATCTATTTTTAACTGGTCCTACCTTAAACTTTAGTGAGGTCAACCTCAAACATAATGTACCATAGTGTATGAACTGAATATTTTATTCTGATCAGACAATATAACCTAACATAAAGCTGTTAGACCCTAGAGGGTGGGTGATTAGGGTCTTATGCTAATCTAATCCGATTAAATGCCAATTAAAAATTAATTAATAAGTTATCCTAGCAAGTATAAAATACAACAAGATATGTGAGCTAGGATAAGCAATATGAACAACAAGATATATCCTAAATGATAGAAAAATATGCAAGGATATATAAACAACACAATGGTAAATAATCTAAATAGGATAGTGGATGAAATGAATGAGCAATGCACAAATGGTGATATAAGATGAATGCAAAAACAAATACGCCAAAGACAAACTCAAACAAGCAATATGATCACGGAGTTCGGACCTTCCGTCCTACGTCTCCGCTCCCCACTCCCGGGGAGAAATCCACTATCACAATCGAGTTTTCTACGTTCACCCGAACAACGTTTACACCTCACACTCGGTTTTCTAGCTAAACAAAAACTTTACAATCAACACACTATTGTAATCCCACTCTACACCCACTAAGTGTTGGACCTAGCCGTGTCTCCCTCAAGTAAATAGAGTTTAGAAAACTTCTCAATATATCAAGAGTGGAGGGAGAAGAGTTGGATGCCCAAACACCAATAGATGATCTCCTCAAGCTCTTGTTGAATTGAATCACAAAACCGAAACACTCAAATGCTTAAAAGCTTCTTAAAACAAACTTAAACAAACACTAAATAAGTTTAAACCCTTGTTAAAACATTTTAAACCATTCTCTTAACTTCTAGAATTGAATGCAATGAGGGTATATATAGGAAGAGGAAATATCAGCAAAAACACCAAAGTAAATGACCAAAAAGCCCAAAACAGAAATTCTGCAACGGCTAGAAAAATAGCCGTTGGGAGAACTGACAGCGCGTCGGTCGACCGGTGCGGTCGACCGAAGAGCTCTCGGTCGATCAGATCGGAAAAAAGAGCGGTCGACCGGTGCGGTCGACCGAAATCTGACATTCTAGAAAACTGTTTTGCTGATTTTAAAACCCTGTTTAAAAATATCAAATAAATTCCAAAAAATATAAAACTTTGGGGAATGATTGTAGACATGATAATAAACATGCTACAATGACTAGTTTGCAAAAATGACTTCCCAAATGAAAAATATCATCATTTTACAAAATAGTCCAAAACATGAAAATATGAGATACTTGAATTTTGATGTTTTGACATAAACCAACTTTTGAAACTTTATAAAATGTTTTTATAGACATGTATAAACTGATATTCAAGTCTACAAACTAAAAATATAATATTTTCACAAAATTGCATATTCTATGCAATGTTTTCAAAAACACAATAGTAAATATGAAATATGTGATTTCATATTATAAACATGAAAACTCAAAAACTATGTATGTATATATATAACTATATATATGCATAGAAACCAAAACTTATGTATATATATATAACTATATATATATATATGAAGAAACCAATAAATGTGTGTGCATAGATATTGAGCTTAGAGTATATAACACACATAATATAAAATCTAAACTAAATTACCCAAGCTAGATCTTGATCTTCAATAAGCTCTTCTAGGTAATCTCGCGGATGAAGCTTTAACTTGGATCTTGAACTTTGAATAGCAAGGCTTCACCGACATTCCGCCAACCTCCTTTGGATATGATCGTTGAAGCTCTATTCCATCCATCCTCCAACATATTGTTTGCCTAGAATAAATATAAAACACAAACACTAGACAAACAATATTAGAAGTAAATTGTTTGTTAAACATCATCAAAACAAGAAGGCCAACAATCTCCCCCTTTTTGATGATGACAAACAATTTACAAAAAGGAATATATGCATGAAGGAAATGAACATATACAAGATAATACACATGCATATAAACAAGGAAAATTATATACTCACAATATTTCTCCCCCTTTGACAACATCAAAAAGGGGACAAAAAGAATAAGAGAGCGAAAGCTCCCCCTATCAATAAGCATAGGTGAGTATAAAAACAAACATAGAATAGGGAATAGCTCCCCCTATCAAAAAGCCATATGAAATATAAGCAATAAAAGATCATGGCAAACATGTGAGCAAGCATAAATAATATGCCAAAAATCACTCACATTCAAGAGATAATGAGAACACATAATGATATGTCACGATAAATAGGTGTCTCAAAAAAAACAAGCCTAAAAACCATGTATAAAAAATAGATTTATGAAATCAAAAGAGAGAAAACATGAGAATCATGCAAAAAGAGTTTTCGAAAGAAAACAAATCAACCAACATTTGGGCGCATTTAGTGCACGGGTCCGGTCATAGCAATAATTATGCAAATGACCCATTCGATTGCAATAAGTGCAATGAAGAGGATGCATTTGGTTATGTTGACCATGTGGATGTGCACGAGAAACATTTGAAACATTTGCAAACATGGATGATCTTTTAAAATTATTTTGCAAATGTGAAACTCTCTTTAAATCAAAACAAAATTTGGCCAAATGACCAAATCTACCACAATGATCACATCTATACACATGAACATGCTTATGATGAGCAATGGGTGCATGTGTGTGTACATGTGATGAAGAAACTACATGAGATGCACAATGAGCATTAGTCTTTGTTGGTTTATGTGCATCATAGCAAAATTTAGCTAAATGGCCTTTACGACCACAAATGGAGCACTTGTAAACTTTGCTATACAAGTGTGCATAGTGTGTGCATAGTGAGTGCTTGGTTTTGAAGAGTTAGCACGAGACTTTGCACATAAGTCCATAAGTTTCTTGTTATTAACAATGCATGTGTTAAGAGTTGAATCTAAAGATGAAATGCGATTTTTAATATTGTTCAACTCATCATTAGGCATAGAAGCATTGTCAATAGAAGTAGAGAAAATATGATCATTTTTAAATGATGTAAATTTACTTCTAATAGTCTCTACTTCTAGCATGGCATTTTCTTTTTCATGAGTTAAAATAGCAAAGTTTGAAAGCAATGAATCATGATCCGATTTTAATTTATCATTCTTTTCTTTGAGGATCACATTCTCATTAGAAACATTATCAAACTTAGAAATCAACAACTCATGATCGGATTTCAAATTAACATGCTTTTCAAATCTATAAAATTATTATGCAACTTAGTGTAGGCATGCATTAATGTATCATATACACAAGCAAGTTCATCACTAGATAAATTATTATCGGGTTCGAACTCGCAAACCTCACTAGGGATATCGCCTAGTGGCCGTGTGCATGATGCTCCACATGAACTTGAAGCCGGATCTGCCAAAGATTGTTGGATCGCCTCCAAGTCCCCTTGATGTGCTTCAATTAATTTCCATAAGGTGTAAGCACTATCAACATGAACAAACTTGTTAGACATAGATGAGTTAAAAGCATTTAACAAATATTCTAACAAAATGTTGTTCATAGTAAACATGCGATGATCATTTTTATTCCACTTGGATTTCTCCAAAGTGGGCACAATATAAGCATCATCTATAATTTCCCATAAATCAAAGTGTTTAGATTGAACAAAAAGTTTAAATCTAACACACCATTGGGCATAGGGAAAATTATCTAATCTAGGAGCAATATTGATGGCATAACCTAAACCATGCATATCCATAATATAAAAGGCAAGCAAGATATAAATAAACCTCAAAATTAAATTAGCACAATAAGCTAACTTGGATCTTTAACTCAAGGTGATTAGACCTTAAATCAAAGAGCACCAAGCTCTGATACCAATTGTTAGACCCTAGAGGGGGGGTGATTAGGGTCTTATGCTAATCTAATCCGATTAAATGCCAATTAAAAATTAATTAATAAGTTATCCTAGCAAGTATAAATACAACAAGATATGTGAGCTAGGATAAGCAATATGAACAACAAGATATATCCTAAATGATAGAAAAATATGCAAGGATATATAAACAACACAAGGGTAAATAATCTAAATAGGATAGTGGATGAAATGAATGAGCAATGCACAAATGGTGATATAAGATGAATGCAAAAACAAATACGCCAAAGACAAACTCAAACAAGCAATATGATCACGGAGTTCGGACCTTCCGTCCTACGTCTCCGCTCCCCACTCC